CCCAGAGATCTGGCCTGAGCTGTCGAGCCTCCTTCAGTGATCTACTTCTCCTGCTCCTGAATGAGGCTCAGCCGAAGAAACGCTGGGGTTCTCCTTTCCACTTCTCAGCGTGGAATTAACCTTCATTTGTCTCTCCGCACCTCACCTGTGCTAAAACCCCCCCGTCAATAGTATCTGACCTGCAATGACACCTGTCCTCCTTGTCCGTACCAGGGTACCAAGGTGCTCCAGAGCTTTATGTGGATTCTGAATCCCCGACAGGTGTTCGACCTTTCTCAGGGTGGACCAAAGGAAGGGTGAGTAGGGTCTTTATCGCTGTTCTTCCTCCCACACCTGTTGCTTGCTGTCTAGATGTCAGTGACGATGTCAGATTTGGTAACTAGGGGGAAACAAAAACCCCAACACCCTCATGAATCCTTCATAGACTCCGCACAACACGCAAAAACATCACAACTCCATACCCCGGGAGTTGGTTTTTGGAATCGGTGGTGCAGAATGAAGGGCGCCCCCTACTGGGCCACCAGCGCCACTTCAGTAGTCCGGTCCGATTCTAAGAAGGATGAAAGGGGCCGACGTCTATGAAGGGGGTGGCGGGGTTATTCCTTCAGCCTTAGAGGTTATGAAGGCGCAGGCCTGAGATCAGCGTACGAGGAATGAGCCAGGGAGGCAGCTTGTCAGGGCGAAGTTGGGGAGGCCTGGAAAAGTTGCACAGAGCCGAGGGCAGCCAGGGAGTGTTAGCACATCGGAGAGCAGGAGTGCGACCATGAGTGCCACCCCCTGACCAGCCCAGCCACCCTCGGCACCTGAGCCGTGAAGAGGTGGTGTCGCAGACGGCGCCCGGCTCACACCCCCGATGTGAATCGAGCCAGCGAGAGGGCTCTCTCTCGGCCTGGGCTGTGTCCTGTTAGTGATCGCGTTCCTTTTCGGATCCGGCTGAGCTAGAAAAAGGAAAAGCCGTCCAGAATTCTGTTATGGATCCTTCTGGGGAAGCTGCCCCCAGCGGGCCATTTTCGATCAGTCGATCCCCGGAATAAAATGGAGCCGCTGTCCAAAGTGTCCACGATGTAACAGATCTCGCCGTTCCTGTGTTTACAGGTTGGAGCTGTACCGGAAAGTGCCAAACCTGCGAATTCTGGCATGTGGAGGTGATGGAACGGTAAAAACTTCAGAAAACAAATGTGTTTCAGGGAGTGAAGTGCATTTACTAGGGTATATCAGGGTATACCATACAGCTGGAGAGAGAGGAGACATAGCTGTAGCTCTCGGACCAGGGTGCAACGCTCAGGGAGGAGACACAGTTGTAGCTCCCGGACCAGGGTGCAGTGTTCAGACGGGAGACACAGCTGTAGCTCTCAGACCAGGGTGCAGCGCTCAGGGAGGAGACACAGCTGTAGCTCTCGGACCAGGGTGCAGTGTTCAGAGAGGAGACACAGCTGTAGCTCTCGGACCAGGGTGCAGCGTTCAGAAAGGAGACACAGTTGTAGCTCTCAGACCAGGTTGCAGCGTTCAGAGAGGAGACACAGCTGTA